TTACGTTCTATATAAGGAAAGTAAACACCAATATTCAAACAGCAGAAAAATGACTACGTAGGGCTAAATTATTCGATTTGTTAGAAAGGAAATAATTTCTTGTTCCAGATTTTTTGCACTCCTATATAGTGTTATTCGATCTTGTCTTATTAGACAGCTCCAATTATATCTATGAAGGAAATTTACGCTCTAACCCCAGCAACAATATTAGCCATCTACATAAACGCGTGTTTTCGTGTACGAGGTTTTGTGATTACTTTCAAATAATGGTTCCAGTGTGCTCTGCAGGGGAAGTAGAAGAGTTTGACCCAGTACTTTACTTTCATCTTTCAGAGAAGTCGAATCATGGCTGTATTCTTATGAAAAACAGCTCTCACACCTATTTTCTGAATCGAGTTGCGTTTCATGGAGAGCACATAGTCGCTTTTGGCCTTCATTTAATCTTCTGTTGGCCATCTCGAGACATGCCACATTTACTCGAAGAGAACTAACGCGAAATAAAACCAGTGTATTGGAAAATTTTGCGTAGTAATGGACCATCTGTAAGAGATTTCTCAACTATTACTTCCAATCAAGTGTCGCCACAGTTTGGAGAATCTGGTCAACTTTACATATCTTCCGACCCAGTACATCATCTCCAGTCAAGTCAGTCGGTCGACCATTCACTGGAACCGGTACCATTGTGGAAGGGACCTAGTCACCAGCAGACGAGCTCACTCTGACTCATAAAGAATACCTACTGCGTGGTCTTGAATAACTAAATACGACTTGACAAAACTATGTTGCTTATCTAGGAGGCCATAAATTGCTCAAGAAGCCATAAATGGCCTCGTTTAGCCGCACAGTGAGCGCTTCCGAATGTGACATCAAGTGGTTAGACAAACGAATCCGGAATCTAGGGTTACGTTGGACGTTACAGGAATTGGATTAAAACAACGATTCAGCCATAGAGATTGTTTTATGCAGCTTTCGAGTCTCTAAGAGAAATCTAATAAGCCAACATAGCCAAAAGTTCACGCTCGTGTTTTTGACTCAACGGTCTGCACAGCTCTCAGTTTTGTAGTTGAGACATAAATTGACACTTCAGTCACATCGAGAATCGAAGGCATCACTAACAACTGAATGAAGACTCCTTATGGACTGTAACCAACGAAAGTAATATCAAGCTGGACTGCTTATACCGAAGCTGTTGAATGACCATCAGTAGGTTAAGCAGGAGCGTATGTAGCATCACTTTGTTGTTTTGATTGCTGGAAACGATTTGTGGGTCAGAGAATGATCCTGGACCGCAATGATGAAGAATGATCGTGAGTGAAAGAAACGAGTAGAAATTGTGAATCCACTTGTAGTGGGAACGGGTCATTCAGTTAAGTAAATAAGTAGGTAAATACCGTTTCCAAGCTGTCACTCTTAGCAAATAACCAAGACAAATGACATTGCTGGAGAGTAAACGATACAGGGCTTAACGTTTTGTTTTCTGCCTTCAATAATTTTCATGGCAGGTTACTAAGCGAAATAAAAAAAGATCGATAGAAACAGCTGAGAGACAGGCGAAACGAAGGACCCTCATGGTGTGGTGGTGAACGCGTTACTCCCCGGAAAGGACAATAGCGCGTTCGTTCCCCACCATAGATACCTGCGGTCCAGAGTTTTGCAAATATCTCAGCAACGTTGTGGTTGTATTTCGCTTAGTAACCTGCCATGAAAATTATNATAATTTTCATGGCAGGTTACTAAGCGAAATACAACCACAACGTTGCTGAGATATTTGCAAAACTCTGGACCGCAGGTATCTATGGTGGGGAACGAACGCGCTATTGTCCTTTCCGGGGAGTAACGCGTTCACCACCACACCATGAGGGTCCTTCGTTTCGCCTGTCTCTCAGCTGTTTCTATCGATCTTTTTTTATTTCGCTTAGTAACCTGCCATGAAAATTATAGAAGGCAGAAAACAAAACGTTAAACATTGTGATTTCAACTACAGCCATAGCTTAACTGGGTTCTATGCCGATTTGCGCTCCCCAGATCAACCCCGCTGACGGGTGATTGCTGTGGCAAAAAGATCGATAGAAATAGCTGAGAGACAGGCGAAACGAAGGACCTGCATGGTGTGGTGGTGAATGCGTTACTCCCCGGAAAGGACAATAGCGCGTTCGTTCCCCACCATAGACACCTGCGGTCCAGAGTTTTGCAAATATCTCAGCAACGTTGTGGTGATACAGGCTTACTTACCCCACACACGTTTTTCTATTTGATAAATTTCATTGCTCTTTTGCGGCAATTTCAATCCCGTTATTCGACTAAAACTATCTTCTTTTAGATAGCTAATTGCATAGGGGATTGTTGCTAAAATGGGGACACACTTCACTTCATTCAAGTTTATAAGCTTTGATAATTGAAGACCTATTACCTCATTGCAGCGGACTGTCACCTGTATGGTACTCTTGTTGGTCGTTAAGTGACTTGCGCTGGCGTCACTACTCTCTATTTGTCCCTGTCGCGCACAACAGTATTCCAATGGGTTCTTCCTGTTACAGGAATGCGACTTGTATCACATTTTCCTTTTAGAATCTTGGTGAAGAAGAAAATTGGTTGCAGGTCTTCTTGCTATGCGTTTACCTTATGATGGGATCCATTGGCAAATCGACCTTCACCATTAAAATGCACCACATGTCCGATCAGATTCACCAGATGTTCGATATTAAAGCGTACATGGCAGCGTTTCTCATCGTTGGTCGTTAGGTGAAACATTGCATTCCCAATCTTACTTTTCTGATGAATAGTAAATTTGGCATCATCTTGTTGATTTCGCATTCGATAATTTTAACCGTCTTTAATGCTGTTTACATACCTTGCAGGTTTATGGGGTACGTTAAAGAAGAGTAAACCGTAGAGTCGAAAAGCTGAAAATGGAGCCGGTTATATTTTGTTCAGTTCGTGACATAGTTGGAACACAGTAAGATGTGTCAAAAACCGACTTTCATTTAAGATATTGTCACGCTACGTGCCAGCAGATGAAGTACCGACTGCCACGTTGTAAGATATTTGTTTCTTTCATTGGGGTGGAGCATTAGAAATGATTCCTTTTCTCATTAACATCATTTTCTAGACTTTTAATCAAGGCTAGTTTCTCCACAAATGATGGCGAAATTAGATAGTTTTCGTTTTCATCTGGGTTTTGCCTTTCGTTATAGGAAAGATATCATCAAAAAAGCGATTATTGCATAACTACTGGCCATGGACATTCACACATATGGTGAATTATAACAATTTTCGCATGAGGTTCTGAAGGATGGCAGTAAACATTTATGGTGAGGAGGTTGTGACATTGTTCGTCGAACCTCTTTCTTTGCGTCACTGTTATTGTCGTTAATAGATTGACGATGTTCTGATGGTGAAATTGTTATTGAGAAAAAGTTTACGAAGAATCTTTACATGCTGAGTAGCATAATTTGATAATCCAGAGTTTCTACGACTGCTTCTGTTTCATGTTATTCAATGGCATTCACAAGTCAATATAAGTGACACAGAGCACACTCTTTTACTCTTGCAATACTTCAGTGAGTTTTGTTATTGTGTAGATCTTGTCCATTGCACTGAATCCTTTTCGAAATCCTACTCACTCACATGGCTGCCCTTCGTCCAGTGTTCTGTCAATCCTGCTGAATATGACTCCAGTGGAAAGAATGATTTACTTCGTTGCCTTTCTGCAATCAGTGACTACGACCTTTCTATGCAGAGATTAATATGTTTGGGATCAGCAAATGAACGTTAGTGTCTCTATTTCCTTCCTGCGAAAAAGAAATTTACCGCGACAATCCGATTTCGTATGAGATTTTGTGACAGCAGCGCAATCCATTGAGTAGAATCCTCGGTTTACTATTGTGCAGTCTATTTAGTTATAGCGTTCTCCTATAGGAAGCTCCCATACCCAGAATCAAGACGTTCAACGTGCCTTAATCTCTTCTTCGCTGTAGCTTGATATCGTTGCGTAGAGTATAATGATACTTGAAGCCACAACTGCTTCATACGTTTTCATCTTGACCGTAAATACGAATTCGGGTCGTTTTTCCGAACTAGATAGCTTAGAATAACCTGGGATTGTTAGTATTTGCTTAGCACCCGTACAACCCCACGCTACCGTATAGGTAGCCCCAGTGTCAACGGTGTGAGGTCTAATATTTTTAATTTTTATTGACTAATACTCACACAAGGCCTATATATATATACTGGCGTGAAGGCTGCATATACAAACAGGCGTCCTACTTGGCTTTCTCAGAGTAGACGAGGAACTTATTTGTTTATAGCGATTGCTAGCCACCTCCAATCTATTACACTTCCTAGTTGATTATTTTTTGGTCGAATTGACATGCAGGGTACAACTCACACACACACGCACGCTTAGGCATGCATTCTCCATTATGTCTGCTTATTCACAGAAGCTATGATCTCGTTATTTCACCTGGATCTCACTGCAAGCAGAAGTTTGCCTTTCGTTCGTGTTTAACCTCCTATCTGGCACTCGCGAGCTCTCTACGGCGCTTTTCTGCCAACTGGTTCTGCGTTCTTCTTTGAGTGAGGGCAGTGAAGTGATCTACTAAATATGCTTCAAACTTGAAAGTGTCCCACCTTATTGTCTTGAATACTTCGTGATCAGTTCTTTCTCTATTCTTATTATTTCATATTTTTTATTATTTTCTTCTATGTTAAATGTATACCTCTTTCGCTGGAGAGTCTGTGACCTATAAAGCACAATAAAGTTTCATTTTGATTAATTTGTATAGATTTCCTGTTGAGAATCTGCTAGGATTCGAAACTGAATGTTACGTAAGGAACACTTTCATAAACAAGTAAGGGCTGGCAACTCGTCTATTCGTCATCGACGCATCTCTTTCTTTGGTCTGAGTAAAATGACGAATTTTCAGGACTCATTTAGCCTGAATCAAAACGATCCTTGGTGGTGGCGATTGAAGGTGCGGTCCCACGCCGACGACAACCCGATGCTGTCAATGCGATCGGTGACGTGGACTTGCCTTCTGATGCAGTTGGTGATGTCAGTCGCTTGTCTAGTTGCGTCGATGGCCGTCATCGCCGCTAAACTTCAGTCGGTATCCGTCTACGAAGACAAACAACATGTCAGGTACCGTGTTGGAGACTTGATTGCTCAAATCCTTGTTAATCGAAATGAATCTCCGAGATCCTTCTCCATCTGGACTATCATGGAGCAAAGCGAAAGGGACGTAACTTCTTGAAGAAAACCAGTTTTTTTTTCTATCTGACCTTACTTAAAACTATGAAAGTTCACCATCAGATTGTATTTGCGAAGAATGAGAAAATTTTTCAACTGAAAAGATAAAATTGGCCAAGTCATTGAGACGCTTTTCCAAAATTTACATTAGTTCAAGAGAAGTGGCAGGGTAGAAAAATAGTAGATTCGAGGTGTGACTGAACTGGTTCAAATAGACAAGTAGATTTTCGCCAATTTAGTAGAGTGAACACTCGATAGTTTTAAAGCTAAAATGTGATTTTCTTTGTTTTGACACATAGCACCCGAATCCAATTTTTGGAGAACTCCCTACAGTGATTTCTCGATCGTAGGGAGTACGTGAGGAGTTGGAAACTACGACGGCTTATGGAAGGAACTTTGCTTGTTTCCTTAAGCGCATATCTAAGTAGTTAATGCCTCGAAAGCACTCAAGTTAATTTAAGATGGTCCTTATTGCAATAACACATGGTTTCCTTAAAACTCATGTAGCACAGTGGTTAAAGATGCCCTACAATATACATGAGGTCGCTACTCCAATCTCGTCCTCTGGGCCGACCAAGCCGCTAATCACTCCATTGTCGGCGATTTGTTACTAGACTTTTCTGGGAGGATAGAAAACATTAACTTAATACGTTGGGATTGCCACCGTACGTCATTGTATAGGGAAAATGGGCGTTCAGTGACTTCTACAGTGCTACGAATAGAGTAGAATGCATGGTGCTTAAGAAATAAATTTAACGCCCCGAAACGCTTTATTCTTTGTCTCTTATTCTACAGACTGTTTACAGGAATTGTTTGTAGGTCGTGATTGCAATTCCGCCATAATACAACCATTTTAGTGCTTTATATTCGTCCTTTTTTTGTTCCCTAATGTTTATTTTTCAACAAAAATCGTTTTAGCATCGAATGGTGGGCATTTTCATGCATGAGTTTTGCAATGATTCTCGCCACTATGATTTCTATGTTGGGCCTATCAGACAATAAGAAGTCGCTTCTCATGCCTCATCTTTTTGTATTGGTTAGCTTTTTTTTATTCATTTATCCAGTTTTTTTAATCTATTTCCTCTCGCAAAGCAAGGCGAGGAGGGCACAGGCACCGTTCAATAATACGCAAAAAGTTTTTAGTTCGAATCCACACGAAGTCAACTAATGCTCTCATTCCAGTCGGTAAATTGACATCAGACTTTCGTTTCGCCTGTCTTTCAGCTAGTTCTATCGACCACTACCATCAGTAATCACCTGTCAGCGGGGTTGGACCGGGGAACCTAAATCGGCAATATGGTGAACGCGTTAGCCACCGGAAAGGGTCACACCGCGTTCGCTGCCCACGGCAGACACCTGCGCTCTGGAGTTTTGCAAATATCTCAGCATCATAGAAGTTATATTTCGCAACATACCCTGCCATTTTAAAAATGGGCAATAAATAAAAAGGTTAAGATTGTCATCAGACTGCCCTGTGGAAAGCTCTTTCGATCTACGAAGCCTGGTAACTGCGTATGGTGATAACCTGAGTACGCTCTAAGCAGATATACTAGGGTTCCGGGAAGAATGATCTCAACTAGCATTCAAGAACATTCATGAAGAAAGCCAAAATTTTCGAGTGGCAGCGGAATCCATACGCAAATCGGAAGAGCTTCGTGAATGATGGATGCTTTGGAACGAACTGAAACCGAGAAATGCTGGGATCCGTGCAACATGTGGTATCAGATCATTCAAAAAGAAGTGTAAAATCTCTCCATGGATACAGTAATTATAAATTGTGCAGTACGAATCTGGTGTTATGGTTTAGATGAATGAAAATGAACCACATTTTGTGGGTCTCGTATCCACCGAATACCTACGATCTTTGAGAAATTCGCTCAAGTTCTCATATTTGAATCAGAAATTCAAAGACTAGTACTAACAGCACGTTCATAATTTGTCCAACTTATTATAGCCTTTCGTTTATAAATATTATAACTTGAAAGCGTTTGAACGTGTCTAGTTAAATAGATGAGATAGAAATTTTTCTGGAAGATGAAAAACATTCCGGAGCGCTCAGAGAGGCTCTCAGGATAAAACGAAAGAAGAACAGGGAAAAAAGAAGAACACTGGTTTCTAATGTCGAACACAGATCATTCCAGTTCATACTGTGGCTGTTCACGACTCGAGTGCTCGTAATGGTTATGGTCGAATTTGACTATTCAGAGCTAAACTGGTTTTTTCGGATTGGTTTTTTAACACTAGCTGGTAATATTTTCGCACTAATTTCCACTCTCTACTAAGAGCGGAAATGCTAAGTTTCTCCATAGTATTCCTTTATTTTGTTGTGAAAAAACTCGAGAAGCTATGAACTAGGCTTCTAGAAATTGGTTCGAACACTTCGCTCTACATCTTGAATTATTTATTTATCACCATTTTCAGATGGTTTTCTCATCTGTTCGCTATTTTGTGAGTTTCGTATACTCAGCAAGCTGTGATCTGTGAAATAGAATGGATTATCAGGTATAAAACCGACTTTCGCAAAACAATTGACTCCAATGTAGATAATTAATTATTATACGAGAGTGTGTAGCTCAGTGGTTACGAGTGCCCTGCAATACACAAAGCGTCTTTAGTTCAACATCCCACCACTCGCACAACCTTCCAACTCTTCATCTCTCCGTGGTTGGCAAATTACTATCGGCCTTATTTGGGAAAATAAAAACACTGCATTAATAAATCAGTAGGCACCTATAAGTCATTGGATAGGTCAAATATGCATTCAGTGACCTCTGTAATTCTACGAAAAGGGTGAAATGCATGACGCAACCCTCCAGGATCGACCAACGCCGGATGTTTCATTCTTTATATATCGAAGTTCATTAAAATTCCTTAAAACGAAAGGCTGAAGGAGATCACTTGTTCCAGTTTGGAGCGTTCGAAATTTTAGAAGTTTGAAATGTTGTAACAGCGTTTGAGTAGTTCCTTGCAGCCAAGGGACGCACAGTAGATAGAGGTTCCTTGCAAAATACAACTGGATCGGTCGCAGTTCGATCCTATCGCAAGCTCACAAAGCCTTCCATTTCTATGTGTACGGGATTGGTCAACACCGGAAGCTTCATCCCTTTAACTTTTAATTGTTCACAGGAGTAAAGGGTAAATTAGAAGGCCATTTCAGTGCTGTAGACATACGAGTTCTCGAGCTTTACGGGTTCTTGTTGCGGGTGAAATGACACCGTTGATTGCTGGTTTCGATATTTTTGGTATGCTACATAGCTGGACCGAAGGCATTGGCTTCCGTGTGAGAGTCTACTACACTCTATTGTAAAATAAGTACTATAATATAATCCTTAAAGAATGGTTGATATTTACAAAGCGTAGTTATGTTGCTAAATCTCCATGCAGCTTCATTATGGTAATCATAAAGATGTCCCGAGATAGTACTCAAACTGGGGTGCCTTAATATTCAAGGTACTTCTTAGTTACTTGATTGAATATGGGAATCATCCATCTGTCACCATGATGCTTTGGTCCGCTCCAGCAAAGTTTCCATCCTACCGGTAATTTCGTCATTGAACAAGATACATTTTCTCTAGAGTATTAAAAGCTGTTACTCAGGTTGTTACCGCTTAACACTAGTGACTATGGTTTTCCAAATATAAACGCCGTTCTCAGTTTAAAGGACCCTACCGAAGATGAACCGCTGCTGTACATTTAATACTGTGTGGGAAGAATCTTAACCATGATGATGTGGTGAACCATTTGAGGGGCAGAGAAGAATACGGTTGTTCTTAGCAACAGATACTTCTTATGAGACTGACGTAAAAAGTGCGTAAAAAGTATTTATTTTGTATGTCTAGAACGTTGGGGTATTTTGTCAGGAATTGATCTGACGTATAGGGCACAAAAGAGATTCGTTTAGAACAGAAACTCCAATTTCAATTAAAGTAACTGTCACAATGCGTTAATTTTACAGATAAGTAAATGCGATGCTGATATGTCTCCGTCTCCTAGTGTTTTTTGTTATTTGGATGTTTCTGGTCTTCATTTGCCTTCATTTCAGTAATCCGGTTATCATCAAGCACCACCTTCTGGTGGGTGAATTTCAAAAATTTTATTGCTGAGTATGCAGGTGAAGAAATGTATTTGTCGAACCGAGGTACTAAGAGGTTGAGGTGTAGTAGTACGTCTGTTATACTACTACTGCTTATCGAATAAGTAAAGCTGAAAATTACAAATGGAAGTTTAAAGAAAGTTTGAAGAATAGTTCTCATTGTCGTTCATATGAAACATACAATATTATTACACACAGCTATCCTGTGAGATGTCTTTATAATGATGGACTTTGCTGATCATTTCAGTATACTGTTTCTCACACGCATATTATATTTCAAAACAAATGATTGCATTGCGCGCCTAGGCTCACTTTCTCTAAACGTTTCTTTCTTTTATGGTACTTTTTAAACCACGAATTCTTAATGACCGGATGTTTCTAAATTGCTAGAAGCTTTTAACGCCGTTATAGTATGCAGCCTCCATGTTGTGCACTCTTTATGGTAGCTGTATTTTTTACTTATGGGTTTTTCCTTCCATTTCTGTTTTATTGCATCGTGTTGGTGGAACGTGTAATGCAGTGGTGGAGTGCACTTCAGTAACACCCATAAAACCCAGCTTCAGGTCAGTTAAGCCGACTATCCTTGCGATATTGGGAAATTGGTGTCAGATATGTCTAGTAAGAACTATTTCGGATCCACGAAAACTGACGACTGCATCTGGTAAAGACCTTGGAACGCTCTTTCACGGCAATCCTAGGATTTCAAGAAGACTATACTCGACTAGCATTCAACGGCATTCATGAAGAAGAGTAAAATCATCATCATCAACTAGAAGCTAAATTCACAGCTAAATCCAAGAATTCGCCAAAAGCGGACTCGAGCAAACGAAACAAATGAAAGAACTGCTGTGGGATATGCATACCATATGGCGTTGGGTCATGTAAAATAAAATAAAACGAAAATATCGTTCCTAATTTATGTCCTGCATATAGATGCAAGGGAATTACTACCGCCGTATATATACCTTTTGTCGCAGAAGCCACTAATATCACTTGTAGTTGGATTTTACATTTTATATGACCCGTGATCACATCTACTCTGCGGATCCCAGCACTTCTTGCATCTATTCGTTTCCCTCATTTGATTCATCATCCACAAAGACCAACTGAATGCCGTAAATTGTCCAGAGAAGTGGCTAGGCAAAAAGATTGAACTTCTGATAGACCACATTTGAACTATTTTTATATCCCTAAAAAACTCAGACGATTCCAATCACATGTCAACTTCATTTTATCTTACCACTGACAACACATCCCCCGTCTCTTACTTTTCGTTCTTCTAGGTTACGTCGTCGCTGTTCGCGGTGGTGTTAATCACTACATAACAGGGTGAAAGTGCGTTGATTCTACTTGGTTTCAATTTGATTCGTTACTTTTCGGCTGTTTTATCGTTTAAATTTTTTGTAGCCATTTAAATTCAACGATCATAACAGTTCCTATCGTTTAATCTCCTTATTTAAGCACATGTTAGCGATGTCAAACAAGCGTCACACTCCTGCCAAAGGATCGCTATCAATTCTTATCACTCTACAGCTGATCGTCGCAATCACGCTATTCTTGGAGAACTCCCTTAATCTTACCAAAAACGTTGACTATTTCGAAAGCAGTGAAACAAAGTGAGCAAATCCGTAGTCTTACCCAATTTTAGACTGCCTTGTTCGATTGAAATCTCTGCTACAGCGTCTGTTAAATAGATGCATATCGGGTCGTGAAATTTATCGATAAGCATCTTTAGCGTTACAGTAATGTATGCTACATTGGCTTCAGATCTGTATTACATCATTCGCAATGCTGTTTTCTTAGGATTGTTGTGTTTGTGGCGTGGCTGCTAACTCTTTTATGGCTCGTCACTATATTTATCTCGCTCATTGCTCTCTTCACCAACTCCTTCAATTTACTTCTTCCTCATCTCATTTGGACGGTATGTTTTAATATGCTTAACATTTAAACGCTAACGAGTATATATTGAAGCGTGTAGCGCAGTGGTAGTAATCCCGTTCATTACGTGGACCACCAACCCTTTAAGGCGGTGGCTGAACCCTTCACCAGGATCCGCAAGCCCTCTCTCCGGAATC